GCAGGCTGAGACAGCACTTGAGGCTGAGCGTGGTGCGCACCTGTAATCCCAGCTCTTGGGAGGCTGTAAACAGGCAGATCACTGCGAGTCTGATCTAGTAGTGAGACCCTGAACAACCTGAGATCCTACCCTAAAATACAGAGAGAGAGAGAGAGAGAGAGAGAGAGAGAGAGAGAGAGAGAGAGAGAGAGAGAAGAGAGAGGAAGAAGAAAAAAAGAAAAAAAAAAGAAATGAGCAAATGCAATGGCTTTGTAAAAATGTACATTTACATTTTTATTTAGTTTTGCGCTGCTGGGGATGTAATCCAGAGGTTCACACATATGAGCCCAGTGCTCTACTACTGAAATGCAGCCATAGCACACAGTAGTTTCTTACTGTCTTTTTTGGGGAGAGGGGAGGCAGAGCCTTGCTAAATTGCCCAGACTCACCTCAAACTTGCCGTCCTCCTGCCTCAGCCTCCTGAATAGTTGAAATTACAGGCATGTACCACCACACCTAGCTCCATGATGTTTCTGTATTACTGCAGGGTTTTTTGTTTTGTTTTGGTTTGTTTTTTTTTTTTTTTTTTTTTTTTGCTTTTCTTTGTTTTGGTTTGGTTTTTTGAGACAAGTTCTCCCTGTGTAGTTCAGACTGGCCTTGAAATCACTTAGGTAGCCAGATAGGTGATCCTCCTGCCTCAGCCTCCTGACTGCTGGGCCTACAGGCATGTGCTAAAATATCTGGTTCCACAGTGGTTTGTTTGTTTTTTGGTGGAACCGGGGATTGAACTCAGGCCCTTGCACTAGCCAGGGAAGCACTTATTCCACGGAGCCATCTCCCCAGCCCTCCACAGTGGTTTTATTTATTTATTTATTTTGCAGGACCGGGGATTGAACTCAGGCCCTTGCACTTGCCAGAGAAGCGCTTATTCCACTGAGCCATCTCCCTGGCCCACCACAGTGGTTTTAAAGGCCCAGTAGGAACTGGTCCTCATCAGTGATTGGGACGCATCCTCGGACTGGGGGGAAATAGTGTGCTAAATTGGGGGCATCCTAAACTGAGATGAGGAGCAAACAAGGTAGGAGGAGGTTACAGCTGCCACAGGAGATGGGGCACAGAGCTTGAGCATGGGAGAGGCTTTGGACTCTAGGGCATGACTTTTGAGGGGCTTGCACTGGAGATGTGCCATTCTGTTTAGGAAGCCAACCATGTCAGTCACACTTCAGACCTGCTTAGCACCCAGACTAGCTAGACCTGAGAGCTTCATAAATGGGAAAAGTGAGGCTTAGGAGGCAGGGACTGGCCTAGCACGCACTTGGGAAAGTGTTTTGGCATCATTTGGAAAACTTAGAGATTCACATGCACACCCTGTAACCCAGTGTTTCCCTCTGAAATTGTGCAGGTCGACACAGGCAAAATGTGTATGGCAACCAACACTACAACATCTCTCCAGCTGCTAGCAGGAGACACCTTCACAGAGTGAGACACTGCAGAGCAATGACAGACAGCAACTACCACTAAGGCAACTAGGAATCGCAGCAGGAGGGAAGGCGCAGAGGAGACTGAAGTGTATGCTCCGTACTCCATCTCTGGGTTTGCAGTCAGGCTTTCTGCAGCTGGCATGGGGGCACATGCCTGTAATCCCAGCACCAGGGAGGCTGAGGCAGCAGGATCACTCTGAGTTGGAGGCCATCCTGGCTACATAGTGAGTTCAAGGCCAGCCTGGACTACATAGTGAATTCAAGGCCAGTCTGGACTACATAGTGAGACCGTGTCTCAAAACCAATTCTCAGGGGCTGGTGAGATGGCTCAGTGGTCTAAAGCACCTACTTAGTACAAGCTAAACTAAGCAAAATCACAGGAACCGCGGTTCAATCCCCCAGCACCACATGCCAGCCAGCCCCGCCCCCCTGGTGGGCTGAGCTGGCCATACACACACAACCACACACACCCACACACGCAATAAATAAATAAATAAATATTTAAAAAAAAACAAAACCAATTCTCAGGGAGATGGCTCAGTAGAATAAGCACTTGCCTGGCAAGCGCAAGGGCCTGAGTTCAATCCCTGGGGGGGAGGGTTTTTTGGGGGGAGAGTTTTTTTGTTTTGCTTTGTTTTTTGGTGGAACCAGGGATTGAACTCAGGCCCTTATGCTTGCCAGGAAAGCGCTTATTCCACTGAGCCATCTCCCTGGCCCCATGGTCTAAAGTCATTTTAGTACAAAGAGTTTGGAACAGTGCCTGGCACACGCATTGAGTGTTACATGAATGTTAAGATAAAAGTAAAGAAGTGGGCTCAGTGATACAACATATGCCTAGCATGCATAAGCTGCTTACTCTTAATTCAATGAATAGAGAGATTTGTTCTAATAGTGTTTGTGGACAGGATATCAGGTCTGCATCTTGTACAATGAATAACCACTAAGACAACAATATGCAATGCATTAATTATTGAAACTGTGCTAGTAATCGGTTTTGAAACTGTCTCATTGCTATTTGTTTCTCAATAAAATTATTTTTTTAAAAAGACCTTAAATTCAAGTCCCACCACCACAACAGAAAAAGTAGAATGCTGAGTGGAAAACACAAGCCTCCCGAGATTGCATACTTTCAAAAAGTCCAAAAATGGCCAGGCATAGTGCACATGCCTATAATCCCAGCACTCAGTGTAATGGGTTCACTGAATTTTGTACTTTAAACTGTGGAAAATTATTAGGAAAAACTTTGTGCTTCCTGTTATCTACTCTAAGGAATGAGTTCTCACTCCCTGCTCAAGGCCGTTTAGCATGGATAACTGTTTCTTGTCAAGGCAGTGAGTTGAAACAAACTCCCTCCCTAACCATCTCCTGTAAACATGGTCAGCTTAAGATGTATCTTACAAAAGTATGCGCTTATCACTAAGCTGTGAAAGACCTTTTAGTTATAGTTTGCAGCTGTGTCAAATAAATGTAGTTTTCTGTTGTTTTGTGCTAGATAACAAATTCGCTTACCAAACTGGATGTGATTTCTGTTGCAAATACCCCTGCTACCTACATTCGATTGCCGATCAGTCTTCTCCTGTGTGAGAAGTGGCTGATGGACCTGAGGTCAGTAAATAAAAGGCTTTATTCAAATTTCTGTCTGGCTGATCTGATTCCTATGCTGAGCAACCCATAACACTCAGAAAGCTAAGGAAGTGGAATGCTGCAAAGTAGAGGCCAGCCTGGGCTACACAGTGAGTTCAAGGCCAGCCTGAACTACATAGCAAGTCTCAAACAACAATGAAGTCCAAAAATGAAACAAGATGTTATTTCAGCATTCATACATGCTATAAAGTTTCTTTCTTTCAGAAAGGGGATGATAAAAGACAGGCATGGTGATGCACACCTATAATTCCAAAACTCAGGAGAATTTCTATGAATTTGAGTCCAACTTGGGCTGCATAGTGAGTTCAATGGCATCCTGAACTGCATAGCGAGACCCTCTCGAAAGAAAGAAAGAAAGAAAGAAGGAAGAGGGGCCAGGGAGATGGCTCAGTAGAATAAGTGCTTCCCTGGTAAGCGCAAGGGCCTGAGTTCAATCCCCGGTTCCAGAAAGAAAGAAAGAAAGAAAGAAAGAAAGAAAGAAAGAAAGAAAGAAAGAAAGAAAGAAAGAAAGTTTTAGCTCAGCTTGAGCAATTTGGTAACTTATCAAGAGCCTGTCATAAAATTTTAAAAATTAAAGTGAGATTTAGGGATAGGGACATAGCTCAATGAGGCCTTAGGTTCAATCCTACTCATAGGTTTTGATGGTGTCACAGCAAAGAAACAGGCAGAAGGGAAAGGGAAAAGGGCTTTATCACGAAGGAAAAGGGGCTTCATTATCTTGGAGGACACAGAGATAATTTGGGAAGATAAGGAATTCTCTGGATTGGAACAAAGGGAGGCTGAGGCTTTTATGGCCTGTTGCCAGGGATGGGGGTTGAGGGGGATGTTTAGATATACCTGAGGAGCTGATTGGGGCCTTCCCTGAGGTGGCAGGAAAGGTGAAAGGCAACTGCATCCTGGGCTGAGTTGGAGAAGGAGGGGGGAGGTGGTCTCTGGGAAGATGAGCTGTTGTTTGAAGGGCTTCAGCCATATTGGATGGCCACCATAATGATTCAGCAATTCATACTTAGGGCCGTAACCTATCACCTATCACTGCAAAACAAATGAGCAAACCAATAAGTTAATGGCTGGGGATGCAGCTGTTTGTGAAAGCTCTGGGTTTGATCTCTGGTACTACAAAGAGAGAGAGAGAGAGAGAGAGAGAGAGAGAGAGAGAGAGAGAGAGAGAGAACAAGAGTGAGAGAAATTGAGAAATTAATTAATTTGGGACCTAGAGGGAGGCAAACGTGTGGCCTTGTGTCTGGACTTATAATATATACTTATAGTGTACATTAGGGGTTTAGTGTAGGGAAGGGCTCCCTGGGGCTCTGTAATTTATTTGCTTGCTTGCTTGCTTGATTGAGACAGGATCTTGCCATGTAGTGCAGGCTGCCTTGAACTCACTATGTAGTCTAGGCTGACCTTGAACTCACTGTGATCCTCCTGCCTCGGCCTCCCAGGTGCTGGGATTACAGGCCTGTGACACCATGCCTGGCTGGGGCTCTATAGTTAAAAGGAAAAGCTGCTGCAACAACCCCTCCTAACTTAGCCGTGTGTCTCCACCTCAGCCTACCTGGGTCTTTGGGGCAGGAAAGAAGCCAAAGACCTTTGACTGCTCCCCATGGCACCAGCTCTGTAGAGGTGCCCAAGATGGCTCAGCTCATTTGCCACCAGCAGAAGAAGGCAGGCCTGAGGCCAGCAGATGAAGATGGGCCCCAAAGAGTCAGAAAGAGGAGGGAGGCTGGAGCTGGTCAAGAGATGGGAGAGCCAGTCAAGTGGAGGAGAGCCTCTACCTGAGGGAGGAGGGCTCAAGTCTGTCCCAGGGAGGCGGAGGCCAGGCCTATTGCAGGCCCCGAGGACTTGTTTCCCTTGTGGCTTTTTGCACTTCCTGTTCCCTTGCTCACTGCGGAAGTTCCTCTTCTTTACCCTGCACCCAGAGCCTAGGCAGAGAGGACAAGGACTGAAGAACCATGAGTGGGGGCCCTGTGGGAGGCAGGCCCGGGTCCCGAGTGGGAGCGGCTCAGCAGAACATTCCTTCCAGCCTCCTGCAGGATCATGAGAACCAGCGCCTCTTTGAGATGCTCGGCCGGAAATGCTTCGTAAGCTGGGGTTTGATCTCCTGGCCCTCCCAAGCTCCCTCCCTTTTCTCCTCTTCCTCTTGGCCCCTCCTTTTTCCCCATCCCTTCCACTCCTCCTCTTTCTTCCCATCCCTCCCTTCTCCTTTTGCTCTCCTTCAGCCCATCTCCTAGGACCCACTTACCATACCACCGTCCCCCCATACTAGGAAGATCTCAGTGTCTACTGTCTTCCCTTTTCCTACGGCTCTACCTCCAGGCCCACGATTGCCATGGGCAAGAAGGCGAGGCCTGGCTCCTCAACCCTCAGGCTATCCCTGACCCTGCTCTTCCCCTAGACACTGGCCACCGCAGTTGTTCAGCTGTACCTGGCTCTGCCCCCTGGAGCCCAGCATTGGACCATGGAACACTGTGGGGCCGTGTGCTTCGTGAAGGACAACCCACAGAAGTCCTACTTCATCCGCCTTTATGGCCTTCAGGTAACCCTGTGGCCCACTGGACATGCAAGCCATTCTACACACACACACACACACACACTGATTGGTGTCCATAACCCTGAGCTCTCAGACAAAGAGCCACCCAGATCCCAACCATGCCTTGCCTTTCTAGGTCTGAAACAACCTGCCCCCTGTCTCCATGGCAAATCTCTACACACTCAAATAGCAATATACTTCTAAGCCTAATCTGTTCCATAAACTAAAAAAAAAAAAGAAAACAAAGAGTACTATAATTGTACCTCAACCTCAAATCTGTTCTGAACTCAGTATTTTAAATGTACCTGGGACTGGAAATCTAAATTCTGAAATTTGAGCCTCCAGGTCTCAAGCTGTCTCCCCACATCACACCCCAACCCTAGACATCTGATACCTAGACCACCAATCCCAGCTACCACCCCAGTGTGCCTCAGATTCGGTGTGTCCCTACTCTGCCTCCTCCAGGCTGGTGGGCTGCTCTGGGAACAGGAACTGTACTCGCAGCTGGTCTACTTGGCTCCCACTAGCTTCTTCCACACTTTCGCTGGAGATGTAAGTGGTCTAAGCCCTTTGGGCCTCAGTCAGGGTGTGAGAAGGAGAGAGGGAGGAAAGGTAGGGGGCCTGGAAGGCTGCTGACCCTAGGGCTTGTGCAGTCCTGTCAGGTGGGGCTAAACTTCGCAGACGAAGGTGAGGCCCAGGCCTTCCAGGCCCTGGTGCAGGAGAAGATACAAAAAAGGAATCAAAGGCAAAGTGGAGGTGAGGAGGCTCGGGGAAGGACCATGTTTGGACATAGGTAAGCCTATGGATGGGGAGCTAGTGAAGCCTTTCTTACGGCTCTGAATTTACCTGTCTAGCCATAGATAGATGCCAGCTACCACCACCGCCAGCACCAGGCAATGAAGGTGAGTTGTTTAGTATAGATGGGGAAATAAGGGCCTGGCCCAGAAACCTGTGGCAGGGTTGTGACAGCTCCTAATCCATTCTATCTTCCCAGAGAGAAGAGGAGGGCTCCCACCTCTGCCCCCACATCCAGGTGGAGACCAAGGGGGTGAGTGGTAATTCTTTCCTGTGTCTCTTGATGGGTGGGCTGGTGGAGAGAAGGTGGATGGATGGGTAGTTGCCTGAGTACTTGAGTGCATGAAAGGATGGCTGGATGGGTGGGTGGATAGACTGGTGGCAGATAGATGGCTAAGTGGAAGGATGAACTGATAGGTGATTGCAAGTATGAATAGATGAATAGATGTATGGGTAGGTTATGGGTAGATAGGTGCATGCATATGTGGATAAATGCATGCATGGATGATAAACAGCAAATATATGACAATACTCCAGCCAGTGAAAAATGAAACAATTAAATGAATTAGAGTAAATCATTTAACAAACTAATCAGTCAACAAGTTGGAGAATAAATAAATAAATAAATACTACAGTGATTAGCATGAGTGAATGAATAAATGAATGAATCCATGAATGAATAAGTGGCATCTGCCCACTTCTTTTTTTTGTGCCCACTTCTGCACAGAACCTTGGAACTCTCTCCCTTCTTGCCTCCCTCTATGACCATCAAACAGACTTCTCCAGTGGTCTTTGAGTTTCTTTTCTTTTCCTTTTTTTGGTGGAACCTGGGATTGAACTCAGGCCCTTGCATTTGCCAGGGAAGCGCTTATTCCACTGAGTCATCTCCCTGCCCCCCTTTTCTTGTGGGACCAGGGATTGAACTCAGGACCCTACACGTGCCAGACAAATGCTTACTCTACTGAGCTATCTCCTCGGGCCCCTTTTGAGTTTCTTATTTGTGTTCATTGGTCAGTAAGAATGGGGGGGGGTGAGTGTCCCATTCACCCTGTGTCCTCCACAGGCCTACCAGCTGGCCCCGTATCCCTGGGGCTACTTACAGTGGACATCCAGAACCCTGATATCACAAGTTCCCGATACCGTGGGCTCCCAGCACCTGGGCCTGGTCCAGCTGATAAGAAACGCTCAGGGAAGAAGAAGATCAGCAAGGCTGATATTGGTGCACCCTGTGGATTCAAGTGAGAGCCCTTTCCCTGTAGGCTCCTGGGGCTGGCAGGAGACATGAAATGGTAGACAACTGGGTGATGGGAGGGCAGCCAGATTGGTAGGTGGGTGAAGGGATAGATGAATGGGTGAGTGAATGAATGGGTTGAAGTATGGAGTTGAATGGGTAGGAAAATGAGGAGATGGATGGAAAGGAAGGCACATGGGTAGATAGGTGGGCAGTAGGACTACGTGAAATCAGACTGGTGGACAATGGGTAAATAGATGTGTGTGAGCAGCTGGGCAGAGGAATGGGCATATGGGTAGATCAGTGGTCTGAGCATGGATAGGTAAACAAAAATTATAGGTAGATGATGGCAATAGGGACAGATGAACACATTTGGGCCATCCATTTTGGGCCCCTTCTAGTCCTGTAACTGCTTCCACTCATGCCCTCCTTTGGACTCAGGCCTTCATTTAGCTTCTGAATCCCCTAGGTGGGAGAGGGCAAGAGGGCTTCCTTAGCCAGGGAGGATAGTGGGGTTTCACTGGAGTCTCCTCACCTCCCCCAGACATGTCAGCCATGTGGGCTGGGACCCCCAGAATGGATTTGATGTGAGTAGCCCCAAGGGCCCCTATACCCAGCCACCTTCATCCTGCCTTTCCACAGGTCACTGCCCATACTCCATCCCCAGATCTTGCCTTTCCTACTCAGCCTCTGCTCCCCATGCCTCTGCCCTCCACCCAACTGGCCTTTTGTGTCCTGGGCAGGTGAACAACCTAGACCCGGATCTTCGGAGCCTCTTTTCCAGGGCAGGAATCAGTGAGGCCCAGCTCACAGATGCAGAGACCTCCAAACTCATTTATGACTTCATTGAAGACCAGGGTGGGCTGGAGGCAGTGCGGCAGGAGATGAGGCGGCAGGGTGAGTCCTGCTCTCCTTCATAGCCCTGATGCCGATACCTCAGAGATGCACTGAAGTCCCTTTGTATTCATGGAAAGCCCTACACTGCTCAGTGGAAAGGACTCACAGCCATGTGTTGTTTTTCTCCCACAGAGCCACTTCCACCACCCCCACCACCATGCCGAGGAGGGAACCAGCCCACCCGGCCCCCTATTGTGGGGAGTAGCAAGGGTCGTTCTGGTCCACTGCCTCCTGTACCCATGGGGGCTGCCCCACCCCCACCGACTCCCCGGGGACCCCCTCCCCCAGGCCGAGGGGGTCCTCCACCACCACCCCCTCCAGCCACTGGACGTTCTGGCCAACCGCCCCCTCCACCTCCTGGAGCTGGGGGGCCACCCATGCCACCTCCGCCACCACCACCACCACTGCCACCAACCAGCACTGGGGGTGGGCCAGTTCCTCCCCCACCACCTCCCACTCAAGGGTCTGGGGGAGGCCTGGCCCCTGGTGGGGGTCGGGGGGCACTTTTGGATCAAATCCGGCAGGGAATTCAGCTGAACAAGGTGAGGATGGGCAGAAGGAGAATTGGGGGTCTGTGACTCTGGGGTGTTTTATGCAAGTCAGGATAATGGGGGCTGAGGCCAACATTGATGGGGTATCATGCTTTGGGGGTTCAGTGGTAGGGTTGAGAGATTTGTGGGGAGCGTGGCTTGAGATTGGAGTGTGTGGAAGGACAAATGCTCTTCTGGTAAGCCTGACCCCTCTGCACCAAACCCTGCTCACTGCAGACCCCTGGAGCCATCGAGAGTTCAGCCACACAGCCCCCACCTCAGAACTCAGATGGCCTGGTGGGTGCACTCATGCATGTGATGCAGAAGAGAAGCCGCGTCATCCACTCATCTGGTGAGCCTGTCCTGCTGCAACCTGCCCGCTCTGGTTGCCTCTGAGAGTCCTGACTAAAAACACCGAGTGGCACTAGCAGCTCCACACTTGCCTGGCATACCTTTTTTTCACAGTGTTAATATTATTGTGTGACAATAATATATTTTGTTTTGACAATAATACCATTGGGGCCGGGGAGATGGCTCAGTAAAATATGCACTTGCCTGGCAAGTGCAAAGGCCTGAGTTCAATCCCCGGTTCCACCAAAAAAATAATAATAATAATAATAACAATACCATTAATACCAAGGTATGCCCACAATAGTAACATTAACCCCATGTTTAGTGCTATGGACATGAGCTCACTGTAACACGATAGGGTATTTATAAAGAATCCTATCTTGAGTTTGTTCTTTTTTCAAGACAGGGTTTTTCTCTGTAATTCAGGCTGACCTCAGACTCACTATGTAGCTCAGGCTGAGTTTGAAGTCATGGCAATTCTCCTGCCGCACCTTCCCAAGGGTTGAGATTATAGGCATATACCACAGCCTGGCTAAAGAATCCTATCTTTGGGGCTGGGGAGTTGGCTCAGTGGAATAAGCTCTTCCCTGGCAAGCGCAAGGGCCTGAGTTCAATCCCCGGTTCCACCAGAAAAAAAAAAATCCTATCTTTGACAATAATATTAACTTTTTGAGGGGATGGTACTAGAGATTGAACCCATGTCCTTTGTACTGAGCTATATCCCTAGCACTTTTGTAATTTTTTTTAAATTTTGTACTGGGCATTGTGACACACACTTGTAATCCCAGCACTTGGGAGGCTGAGGCAGGAGGATGGTTGTGAGTTGAGACCAGCCTGGGCTACAAAGTGAGCTCAAGGCCAGCCTGAACTGCACAGCAAGACCTTGTCTTATTATTTATTTTTATTTTTATATTTAGGACAGGGTGTACAGGCTATCTAGGGTCTTACTGTGTTTATTGGACTCGTAGTGACCCTCCTGTTTACAGCCCCACAAATGCTGGGATTACAGGTGTGCACCACCATGCCCAGTCTCAATCACCATCACAGCATGCCCTGGGGCCGAGGCCAGCATGGCAGGCTGGAAGATCTAACTCCCGCCCCTGCATCTGCCTAAGCTTGTGCTTTAATCCACTGAGCTATTTGGCCGGCCCAAGACCTTGTCTTTTTTTTTTTTTTTTTTTTCCGGAACCAGGGATTGAACTCAGGCCCTTGCGCTTGCCAGGGAAGTGCTTATTCCACTGAGCCATCTCCCCGGTCCCAAGACCTTGTCTTAAAAGATCAAAATAATTACTTTATTTTGAGGCAGGATCTTTTTTTTTTAAAATTTTATTTATTTATTAATTTGTGTGTGTGTGTTTTTTTTTAAATTTTATTTATTTATTAATTTGTGTGTGTGTGTGTGTGTGTGTGTGTGTGTGTGTGTGTTGAGGCAGGATCTTGATATATCACTCAGTTGCCCTGGCTGGGTTCAAATTTATAATACTCCTGCCTCACCTTCCAAGATTTCTGGGATTACAGGTGTGTGCAGCTAATCATACTAATTTAAACTCTGTGTTTCAACACATTTACATTGACTTGTTATGTGACAGTAATATTATAACTCAGTCTTTTTACAATAATGTTAACATAATCTAATGTACCAGCAATATCATCAACTCATTACATGATTTAATATTAATCTCAACCTATTACGTTATAATAATATAATTAACTCCAACTTCCACAATATTACCATTAGCCCCACAGTGTGTCCAGAAGATTAACATGGATCCATTACATGACAATATCATTAGCAAATCTCATCGTTTTATTAATTTTTTTGGCTTTTTGAGACAAGGTCTTACTATGTAGTCTAGACTGGACTCAAACTCATGGGGATCCTCCAGCCAGTCTCCTGAGTTCTAGGATTAGAGGCATGTGGCACCAGGCCTGGCCAAACCCCAACTATGGTCCTTATCTTGGCCCCTGCTCTCCCTCTAGTGTAAGACTTTAGCTCCAGGCTGAGTCCTCACCCTCTAAGAACCCCCACCCCATTCTGAGTTGCCTCCGTACCTTTCTCTCTTTTTTCCAGATGAAGGAGAGGACCAGGCTGGTGATGAGGATGAAGATGACGAATGGGATGACTGAGCTACATCTGGGCTCCCACTGCCTTCTCCACATCTGCCCCTGCAGCTCCTAGGCCCAACCTCCAGTGCTGTCCCCCGCAACTGCTCCCCATACCTTAGCCGTGCTGGCTACCCCTTTTATACATTCCCCAGTTCTCTTCATGCAAGGATTTTAAAACAAAAATAAAATAATTGGTCTTCTGTCTCTGTAAGTCTGGATTTGCTTACATTGCAAGAGTAGAAATTTGGGGTCCTTTACATCTAAAATCCCTTTTATTCATTTATCCTTTTTTTATTTAGCCTTGTATGCATGTGTTAACTCATTCATTCATTCTTTATGCTCTTAGTCATTTAGCCTGCCTGCCTGTCTACCTTTCTTTCTTGGTTGTGTTGTGTTGCCTAAGCTGGTCTTGACCTCCCAGGCTCAACCATTTCCACAAATATTTACTTCCAGGTACTATTTGGGGGAGCATTGTAGGGGAAGAGAAAGACAAAGGACAAGAAATCAAGATAGTAATCTGGACATGGTGGTGCACACCTGTAATGCCAGCAGTTGGAAGGCTGAGGCAGGAGGATTGCTGAGAGTTTGAGGCCCGTCTGGATTCAGATAGTGAGTTCAAGGCCAGCCTGGACAACATAATAACAAACAAAAAACCAAACAAGCAAAGATAGCTGCACATCATGGCAAATACTACGGAGTGCTGAGGCAGAGATTAAGGGACAACAACATTCCAGTGGAACAATCAGGGAAGGACCACTTGGAGGAGATGATATCTGTGCTGGACCTAAAGAGAACCCTCTTAGTCAGGGGAGCAGCCAGTACAAAGGCCCTAAAAGCTTGACATGGGCTGGCTGTGTAGCTCAGCAGTACAGGGCTTGCCTAGCATGTGAGAGGCCCCGGATTCCATCCCTGTACCACACACAAAATAACTGGTTTGAAGCTGAGAGTGGTGGATGAGAAAATAATTTATTCATATGCACACATTAAGTATTGCTTCAGTGGACACTGTACAAGATCAAGAACACACTCAATGGTCAGACCTCCCTTACTCTTATTTGAACCAGGACCCCAATGGGCAGGACATCCCTTTGGATTGCAAGAGTCAGCTCTGCTCACTTCCCAGGACAAAGCAAGCACTGGCCAATTGCAATAGAAGTGGCAAAGACTTACTAACCAGGGATATGGAGAGAATGAATTAAAGAAAATGATATCAGCAAAATGCCTGGTTCCTTGTAGGCAGCTATAAATGATAGCTATTTTTATCATTGTATTGGTACCGTTAATACTGGATTTTACTGACTCTGAATCACCATCGATTGGAAAAATGCACCATTTTATGAATCACTAAGAAACAGAAAAAAGTGCTGCCATTTAAATTATGACTCACTAGAACATGGAAGACATAGGCTGACTTCAGAGACATTAAAACATTAACTGCTTAATCTCTGCATTCTGATTCCAGGTATATGTTGCCTCGTGAAAACTCATCATACTATTCCCCCATGGTCTCTCTCTCTCTCTCTTTTTTTTTTTACTCAGTAATTTTTATAATTTAGGATGTTAAAACGGAAATAAACAGGACAAGGGGACGAGATATACACAGAAGTAATTTCATGATTTTCTTCATTTGGATTCTATTGTTTTCCTATTTTCAGGAGTTAAGTCCTTGACTTCAAAAGTAACAAAATACTTGTGAAGGGCATTCACATCTTCCAGGTTTAAATGGTATTCTCGTGCTATTTTCTTCGCAGTCCACGTTTTGGGATTAAGTTTATGATTTTTTTAAATTTTTTATTTATTTGTGTGTGTGTGTGTGTGTGGCCAGCTCAGCCCACCAGGGGGTGGGGCTGGCTGGCATGTGGTGCTGGGGGATTGAACCATGGTCCTTGCGCTTTGCTAAACTTGTTCTAAGTAGGTGCTTTAGACCACTGAGCCATCTCACCAGCCCCAAGTTTATGATTATTGAGAAGCATCAAGGCCTCTACAATGGAAACTCTGCCCTTGGGAATGTTCTTAATATCCACGCCAAAGTGCTGGCCCTTTAGCAAACTGAATTCCTTTGGCTCTTTTTTTTAAAAAGGATGTTTAATATTAACATTTTTTGAACTTTATTTATTTATTTGTGTGTGTGTGTGGCCAGCTCAGCCCACCAGGGGGCAGGGCTGGCTGGCATGTAGTGCTGGGGGATTGAACCGCGGTCCCTGTGCTTTGCTAAGCTTGTTCTAAGTAGGTGCTTTAGACCACTGAGCCATCTCACCAGCCCCTCCTTTGGCTCTTGCTGTGTTTCAGCACCTCTTACCACCAGGGATGATACAGGATCTTTGGAATCAACATATACATCTTTCAGCAATGACAGAGCATTTCATTTTTGTTAGCAGTTTCTCCCTTAACTTTTGGATGGCCGCTCATCTGCTCCCGCAGCACGCTCCAGGTGGACGGGTGCCTCAGGGCCACTAATGCTTCACTTTGTTGATTTCCCGCTCTGCTTACTTCTCCAGGTTGAAATTCCTGAGCATCCATGCTTGCCCATGGTCTCTATATCCTTCTGTATGCATGTGAGAGCTCCTGATGCATGTGCTGTTTCCATTATCAAATCAGGTCAAATCAAGGGTTGGCCAAATAGCTCAGCAGATTAAAGGACCTGCAAGCAGGCACAGAGGCTGGGGGTTCAATCCTCAGGCCTCCCATGTCAGCCCCACCCCTGGGGCACGATAACATGGCAATTGAGACTGGGCATGGTGGCACATGCCTGTAATCTCAGCTCTTGGGAGGCTGTAAACAGGCAGATCACTATGAGTCTGATCTAGTAGTGAGACCCTGAACACCCTGTAGACCCTTTCCTAATACACACACACACACAAAAAAAAAAAAAAACAGATCAAATCTGGGCACCTTGGGGGCCTGCCCATTAGCTCAGTTGTTTAAGTGCCTGCTGAAACAAAGGAATCAGGCTCATGATGCTGTGGTTCAATCCCCTTAAGCCAAAACCACACCTGCCTTGAAGGCATCCTGAGAGGCCCCTGCCCCACAAAAAAAAAACTTCACAAAGATGCTTATGCTTACTGGAAGAAAGATAGCCTCTAACAAATGGTGCTGGAAAAACTGGCTCTCTACATGCCGAAAACTAAAACGACCCAGGTCTATCACCATGCACTAAGCTAAAGTCAAAATGGATTAAAGACCTGAACATTAAAACAGAAACACTAAATCTCCTGGAAGAGAAAGTAGGAGGAACTCTTGAAGACATACTGTCAGGCAAAGAGTTCATGAACAAAAATCAAATCGCACGGGTAATGCTTGAAAGAATTAACAACTGGGACCACCTCTTAATGGGAAGTTTTTGCACTTCAAAAGAAATTACCAACAAAATGAAAAGACAACCCCCAAATTCCAAAAAAATCTTAACTAATAAGCACTCAGATAAATGTCTTCTCTCTAGAATTTATAAAGAACTAAAAAACTTTAGGGCTCCTAAATTTAAAGACCCAATCTAGAAATGGGCATCCGAGATGAACACACACTTCTCAGAGCACAATATTAAAGAAGGAAACAAATGTATGAAAAAATGCTCCACATCACTAGCCATCGATGAAATGCAAATTAAAACAATACTGAGATACCATCTCACCCTAGAAAGAATGGCTATCATAAAGAAATCAACCAACAACAAATAGTGGAGAGGCTGTGGGGAAAAGGGAACTCTTCTCCACTGCTGGTGGGAATGTAGACTGGTACAACCATTATGGAAATCAGCATGGAGACTCCTTAAAAAACTAGGATTGGAAATCCCATTCAAGTCAGCGATGCCCCTACTGGGAATTTTCCCGGAGGAACTGAAAACGTCATATCATAGTGATATATGCGTACCTATGTTTATAGCAGCACAATTTGTGATAACCAAATCTTGGAAACAACCAAGATGCCCGTCACATGATGAATGGTTGAAAAAGATGTGGTATTTCTATACAATGGAGTATTACTCAGATATAAAGAATGATAAACTCAAAGCCTTCATATTTAAGTGGATGCCACTTGAAGATATACTTATAAGTGAAATAAACCAGACCCACATGTGTAAATATCGTATTGTCTCCCTAGTATAAGAACTCAAAAGAAGAATTACAAATAGAAAGCTATAACACAATTAAAAGGAAAGCGAGAACTTGAGGATTGGACAATGAGGACAGGGCAAGGAGAAAAGCTGGGAAACATGACAGGGGCAAAGCCATACATTTATATGCACAAGATGAGTACGGCAATGATCCTGAGAAACATCGTCAGGTTTTTTAAACTAGCAGTTAATTGATAGGATTCTCACCCTGATTAATTATATATGCTGATACTTGTGAGCCAAGCAACTGCACTGAAGATAGCAATGTGTAATAGAAGGGTCATGCTTAGAATGCCTGTCATTCTGATCTTCTAAATACATACTTCTTGTCATGACATACCAATTATTACCATACTGTCTCTCAAGGAAAAGTTTTTTTTTCTTTAAATAAAGGGTAATACATTTAAAAAAAAAAAGAAGAAGAAAAAGAAAAAAAATGTCACAGGACTGTCCTGCTACAATGCTGTATATGGTTAGATTTCTAAATTTCTGTGTAAAAATATGTTGTGTTTATTCCTATTTTTTAAACTATTTTTTCTTCATATTCTGTAAGGGCTTAAAGTTCAACACATCAATGCTTGATGAAAATACCTGTTCCATGTGATGCCTAAGTTGTAGGGTAATAACAATAAGCTTCTCTTCTGGAGGGTTAACAACCCAAGTTTGCAGACCAAAATTAGAGGAAAAAGGAGGTCCACAAGGAAAGCCAACATTTTGGCCCTAGCCTTCCAAGGTCAATTAAGACTCAGGACATACGAGAACTTGTACTGTAACATCGTGTAACTCAGTAGTGTCCCAAATTTTCTGATCAAGGAGATTATGGAGCCAAAGAGGAAAGTGATTGATGATGTAGAGTGTGCCTAAGGAGAGTCACATGGAGCGAAAACATTCTCTCAGGCTTTCACCGAGAGCACATTGGCCAAGCAATGGCCGTGACTCATGCACATGGCTGATACTGACAAAGGATCTACAGTCTGAGGTACAGGATCTCAGGATAAATCCTGAGGGGATTTGCCTGACCTTATCAAGATCCAAAAGCTACAACTCTTGTTGCGTAGGTCCTGCTTCACCTTGGTCTTAACCATCCAGCAGAAAAGTATAAAAACAAAGTATAAGAAGTAAAGCCAGGGCTGGGGAAATGGCTTAGTAGAATAAGCGCTTCCCTGGCAAGCACAAGGGCTTGAGTTCAATCCTCAGTTCCACAAAAAAAAAAAAAAAAGAAGAAGAAGAAGTAAAGCCATGGTGTTATGTTGAGCTGTAGGGGACTCAGGTCAACAATTTCTGACATTGCCAGTCAAGCGGAAGACCCAATACTATTATGGACTACTGGACTCTTTTAGAATATTTTACTGAGTTAACACACCTATGGTATTATGTTGTTAGCAACATGAAAAAAAAAACCACACCTATAATATTCAAATGACAGGGGCCAGGGAGATGGCTCAGTAGAATAAGCACTTCCCTGGCAAGCGCAAGGGCCTGAGTTAAATCCCAGGTTCCGGAAAAAAAAATTCAAATGACAGAGCTAAACAAAAAAGGGGAGACAGATGAATGTCCATTTTGTATGTGTGTATTCAAAATAATTAGGATAGATATATAGTTACATTCTCTTAATGAATAGAAGGATTGGTTCTAATAGTATTTGTAGATAGGACATCATGTCTGCATCTTGTACAGCAAATAACCACTAGGAAGAGAGTATGCAATGTGTTAATTATTGAAACTGTCCTACCAATTTGATTTTAAACTGTCTCATTGCTATTTGTTTCTCAATAAAGTTATGGAAAAAAATATGCTGAGCTGTAAAAGGCTCAAGTCAACAACTTCTGCAGATAACCCACTACTATTGTGGACTGCTAGACTGTTGATTTGTTTGGCTGAATTCAAGCACCTATAGTATTTATATGCCAATAGAATACCCATCTCTAACAGGACTAAACAAAAAAAGGGGATACAAAGGAAGGACCATTTTGTATTTGTATATATAGAATAGTTACGATAGATATACAGCTACTTTTGCTTAATTCAATGAGAAGAAAGATTTGTACTAATAGTATTTGGACAGGATATCCTGTCTGCTTCTTGTACTATGGATAACCACTAAGAAGATAACAATGTACAAGGTATTAATTATTGAAACTGTCCTATTAATCAGGTTTGAAACTGTCTCATTGATATTTCTCAATAAAATAATTCTTTTTAATGTGGGCACCTTGTAATAGATGAAACCATGTCTTTTCCCCAGCATTGGGCACAACAGTAGGCAATGCTAAACAAAGAGATACATGGCTGCAGTGGGACACAGTTGTAACAGGGTGACTTTATTTTAATGTCTCCTGAAAAGGTGCTAGTCCAGAAAATTCACTCTCCAAATGAGAGACTGACCCATTCATGAATGAAGAAAATGCCCAAGGCCACATGATTCATGTCTTTTTTGGGAGGAGGGTCCCAGGGATAGAACTTGGGACCTTGCATTTGTCAGGCAGGCCCTTAAGCCACTGAGCTATCTCTCCAGTCTGGTAACACGATTCAGCAAAATGTGGAGCTGGGATTTGAACCTAGGTGGTCCTGTTCCAGAATCCAGGCTTTTGCCTTCACTATAATATTAAACTATTTAGAGAAGGCAAGGGCTTCTCCCCACCACCCACAGAGCCCTCCATCTTCTAAATCAAGGCCAGCAGAGGTCTCGTCTTAAATCACTCTCCTGGTTTGAACAATCTCTGGGACTCCTAGGAGCAGGAACTCAATAGCTGCCAGAGAGAAGGGAGGGAAAAGGTTGCACAGTGGGGCAAAACATGGATGAACATGCCAGCAGGGACTGATGGCACCTCAGCTCAGTGTGACCAGCCATTTTCTCTAGCTGGATGAAAGGCAGATACAATATCTATTTGGTTAACTGTATAAACTTTCAATGACTAGCTCAGAATGACAGCAAGAGGGGCAGTTTGAGAGACCAACAGTGCAATTTCCTGATGCTGCGAGGCACTGAACTTCCAGCTGAATGACAGCCCACCTAGGTCTGGCTGGACAGGTAGCCTGACAGTGAAGATGACAAGCAGCCTATCCTTTTCACTGTCAGGCAGCCCCCTGAAGGCATTACAGGTGGCTACTGACCTGTGGTGGTCCTGCTGGCCTGAGTGCTTGGGTGTCTTAAAAGAAAGACTGTTGTTAGGAATCATCCCTGGCCTGAGGAACTGTCTGGATGTTATTCTGTCTGGCCCTGTGTGAGGGAGGACTAACCTGAGGGAATTTCAGGATGACTGACCATCATGTGTAGCTCCCCCATGGGGTAGCTGTATGTGACAGAAGTGCACCATGTTTGAGGACCTGGCTATATGGGTTGGGCGGTGCTGAAAATGACCACCTGGTTCACTGACATGATGAGGGGCAGCCTGAGTGAGTCACAGGCCAGCCTATTGACAGCAAGATTCATGTAGCTGCCAAACTCTGGCTATATGTTTTTTGATAAATTCTAAACCTCTCTGAGAGGTCCAACACATCACAAGATGTGACTTAACCCATGGTGGGAATGAGTTATCTGAGAAATGACCAACCAGATGTAAGAATCTAGCATGACTTGTTTACAGCCATGTTGGTTGTAGCCATGTTCTTGCTTGGCAGGTGACCCTGGGAAGCATTCCAAACCTTATGAGACAAAAGTAATTAAGACAAGTCAGATGAACATTACATGCTAGCTACTGATACATTTGACATATTAATAGTTTGGTTTTTGAGAAAACATGTATGTTCTGGTCAGCCACCCCATTCCTTTTTTTTTTTTTTTTTTTTGAATTGGGGATTGAACTCAGGCCCTTGTGCTTGCCAGGCAAGTGCTTATTCTATTTAACCATCTCCCCGGTCCCCCAATTCTTTTTTTTTTTTCTTTCAGTACCAGGGAATGAACTCAGGACCTTGTGTTTGCCAGGCAAGCATTTATTCTACTGAGATATCTCTCTGGACGCCCCATTCTTGTCTATTTAACAAAATAAATCCCTTCCTTCTGCCATAGAGTGTGAGAAATTCTCATCTTGTTGTTACTCAAGACCTGCATCTTGTTGTTACTCAAGACCTGCTTCTTTTAATCCACTTTTTTTTAAAGTAGGACAATTTATTGGGAAAAGGAATGAGGAATAGAAATAGTTCCAGAAAGAAAGAGAGAGAGAGAGAGAGAGAGAGAGAGAGAGAGAGAGAGAGAGGGAGTCAAAATGGGTTGCTTTTCAGTCCACTTTGCAAAATCATGAAATTTGTTTCTTTCTTCAGCCTTGCCACTTCTGGTTCTTGTCCTGGGGGACAAATGAACAGGTGGCTAGGTTTCGTTGTATTTTTGTGTACTGAGATTACTTGCTCTGAGGGCCTAGCTGGATGTGTAACGACTAGAAACTTGAGGGCCCCTGACAAGTCATATTAGAAGCTAACAGTGACACCTTGTCCTGATCTAATCCCTTACAGACTGCTTGAGAGCATGGCTGAATGCTGTAGTTTAGAAGCTTCTTTCAGGGTGGAGTGCAACGGGTCCCAGGACCAGGGTAAGTGAAGATTTGGCCTTTTTTTTTTGTGGGACCGGGGATTGAGCTCAGGCCCTCCCTTGCGCTTGCCAAGGAAGCACTTATTCCACTGAGCCATTTCCCCGTCCCCAACCAGGGTAGATGGAAAGAACTGTTTGACTGGCTGACATTGTGAGGAAGACCCTTTGAGGGAATGGCAGGCTAGCTGGCTAGCGACACTGTCTCCCTCGAAGGACAAGGATCTTCGGAGGGCACAGGTAGATACTACTGCTGACAGTGTGAATAGGGAGACGTCGAAGGTGGGGTGGAGGGCTGAAGGGCACCTGTTCAAAATGACTCATTTTCTGATTTGTATGAGCAATCAACAAAGCAGCTAACTATTCATGGCGCTAGTCCACTCTAGGAGTAACGGCCTGCTTGGGGTTAAAATGTGATGACAGACTGACTGACAGAGATAATTGGGGGTCTGACAGGACCGAGGATCCCCCTCATGACTGGCTGAGAACGTGATTGGCTACCAGTGTGACAGCCTGACCAATATATAGGAAGGGCTTCGGGGAACCTCGACCGCCGCCGCCACTGGCGCTGCCGCTGCCGCCACCGCCGCCTAGAAGCACTCTGGGAAAGTGCGGCGAACACAGCCTCCCGGGGGCGAGCCGGTAGCGGGGAGGAGTCCAGTCACGAATTGCCGGTTGGTCCGCCCAGTCGCTGCCGGCTGCAAGGCGCGGCCAATAGGCTGCGTGATCCCGGCCACGCCCGCGCGAGCTCTCTTCTCGCGAGGCCGGCTAGGCCCGAATGTCGTTAGCCGTGGGGAAAGATGGCGGAAAATTTAAAAGGTGAAGCAGTGGCGGTAGAGGCACGGGTCCGCTGGCCCGGCCGGGTGGGTTGGAGGGATGGTGTGGCGAGCTCGGGGCCCTGGCGTCTGAGGCCACAGAGCCGAGAGCCGGAGGCCTGGGGCGGAAAGGATAGGGCTCACGGAGCGCGGGCCCAGTGCACGGGGCTGGGCGGGGCTGCGGGGAGGGGGCGCGCTCCTCAGAACGCGGTGGGCGCGGGGCTAAGCGGGGACGCGGGAGAGGGGCGCGCGCCACAGATTGCGACCGGACCGGCGCGCGCACGCGCGGGGTTTTGCGGGGGACGAGGAGGCTGCGCGCGCGGGAAAAACTGGCCCCTGGTGACCGTTACCCTTTCGGTGTCTGCGCGAGACGCCGGAAGGGGAAGGAAGAGAAGGGGACAGGCCCCCTCCTTAGAGTGGGTGGATGGGTGACTATTGAGGGGGCCAGGGTAACGCTGCGCACCTAGGTGAGGGAAGGATTGGAAGTACAACAGTCCCCCCAAAGAGGGGAACAGGGCCTCCCTGATGGGAGAGCTGGACTCCCCCATGTGCAGGAAAAGGGGTGGTTCTGTCTCTTGAGGCGAAGCCACGAGGAGGATGGATTCCACAAGTGTAAGAGGGACTCTGAGGGCCGAGAGAGTCCAGCTGTTGTCAGCACAGAGCCAGCAGCCTGGGAGATTGGGACCTCGTCTGTGGGGTTTCACTCGCCAGTTAAGCCTTCAGCAGAGGCATCCTAGGGAGAAGGAAACACGGGCTCAAGTTCCACTGGGCCTTGCCCAGCGGAGGAGGGAGCTTTAATTTTGTAAAGCTCTGTTTTTAGGTTGACATCTACTGTATTTCATTATGAATTTTTTTTCTCATTATGAATTTAAATAAATTGAGTTTTGTAGTGGGAAGTAGATAATATCAAACATTTTAAAAAAATGAAATAGGATGTGGCTTTGGTACATTTGGAATCGTGTTGTGTAGCATGATTTGATAAAATGGCTTCTGAAGCACATTAATGAATGACGTGCTTTGATGTCTTGAAATTTTTTTTTGGTGGCTTCAAGAAACATTCTAGGTATATTTGAAGAATGGACGTTACTAACCTCCTTCGCTTTGTGTATTCCTAAATTCCGAGCATGACCCTTTGGATGAGCTCTATCCTTCACAGAAATGTGTATGAGACAGAAAGTCAAAATGGAGCAGTGGGAGAAAATTTTACCTTGCTGGGTTAAGATGCCCCAGACAAATCATTTAAAGGAACCTTTCTGCAATGTGTATCGTCACAATCATTATTTATGATTCCAAAATCTAAAAAGTCCTAAAAACTGAAATCTTTTTCTTAAATTTGTCACCTTTCATGGCAAAAGAAGATATTAATGAAAAATGGAGTATGCTATGAGTTTATCTTACATTTTCCTTGTATTTAATGTGAAAAATTTGTACTTTTGCTGCAGAAATATTCATGGTTTTGATTATGGCTTGATGTCCCTGATTACGATGGGGGTGTTAGTTTAATGTATAGGGGCACACTTAAAGAGTTGTAAAATCCTCTCAAATCTTGATTTTTAAAACTTGTCTGGCTCTGGGAGTTTCAGACTGGGAATTGAAGACCAGTCTTTCCACTTAGGCCTTTGTTTGGTACTCTGGAGGTTTTAATCCTATCCCCAACCCCCTTAGGACCATACACCCTACTGAGGTGGGGGTGGTTCTCTTTCTTTTGCAAAGCGGTGTGCGCCAGTCTTGAACCCGTACTGGCAGTTTTAGGAATAGAGCAGAGGGAGTTAGAGGCTCTGAGTAGATTCCTTTGGCATCTTCCATGCAACAAACCCTATTTTAAGCCTGCTGCTCCAAAGGAGGCCTTTGACACAGCATGGGTTTGAGGAGTAACAACACATTCATGTTGCAGAAGGATCTCAGCACTGGGGGAAGACCTGTGGACTATGTTTCCCTGGCTCTTAGCCTGCCCTTGGGATGCCCTAGAGAGGATTTGGGATCCTGTTTGGTCCCCAACCTGGTCAGGCTGCCCAGTAATGGCTCATTCCAGCTTCCTTCTTGTTCTAGGCTGCAATGTGTGTTGCAAGTCTTCTTGGAATCAGCTGCAGGACCTGTGCCGCCTGGCCAGGCTCTCCTGCCCTGCCCTTGGTGTCTCTAAGAGGAATCTCTATGACTTTGAAGTTGAGTACCTGTGCGATTACAAGAAAATCCGTGTAAGTCTGGAGTGATCCATGCCCTGGGAGGGGGCAGGTCTCAAGGGATTTGGCCTCTTGCCTCTCACCCCACCTCTGCTGACCACATTGTATCTAAAGGGAGTTTTCTCCTGTGATCCTTCCTGAAAAACATAGGATGAACAGACTTGATCATCCCCATTTTATTTATTTATATTTTTATATTTTTATTTTAGGGAAGGGATACAAGGGGCTCAGGGTCTCACTACTAGATCGGACTCATAGTGATCCCCGCCTATGAACAGCCTCCCAAGAGCTGGGATTATAGGTGTGCACCACCACACCCAGTCTCAATCCCCATTTTATTTTATTTTTTTTTCAATCCCCATTTTAGAGGGGAATACTAAGTGGGTTTCTTAGGGAATCAGGAACCAAATGAAGCTCCACATGTCTCTTCCCATTTCCCTTGAAATACAAACTGGGTACAGAGATTCAGGCTCCAGAACCTAGTAGTAGGGATAAGAATAGATACTAATTGTGTCAGTGGCTATTGTTACAGTTACTTCCTCTCAGGAACTCATATAACACTCCCACCCCACCCACCCCTACAATACTGTACTGTGAAGTAGCAACAATTACCTTTGCTAGAGGATTTAACCAAGGTCAGTTATACACATACTTGGGTTTATTTATTTTTTGTATATTTTAGGGAAGAGCCTACAGGGCGGTCAGGGTCTCACTACTAGATTGGACATGTAGTGATCCGCCTGTTTACAGCCTCCCAAGAGGGTGCCTCAGAGAACTACAGGCACTCGCCACCACGCCCAGTCTTGGTTGCCCTCTCAGAGGGCCCCAGGAACCGGCTTTGGCCGGCCCTCATGCTTGGGTTTAAATCCTGGCTATATAAGCACAGCCTCCTTAAACTCAAAACATTTTTTTCATCTGTAAAATGGGGAGAGCTAATAGTATCTAACTCATACAGAGTTGTAGGGAGTAACTGTTAGTAGCACATGGAAGTTCTTAAAACAGTAGCTATTAAAAAACCCAGTAACTTTCATAATGAATGCTAGAAAAATGTTAGCCAATTCTGTTACCAATAGAAACTGAGGCCCAGCAAAGTTAAATAACTTGCTTAAGGCAACTCAGCCAGGGAGCTTGATTGAAAATTTGTACCCAGGTGTCTGACTTTAGAATCTGTGCTGTGAAACTGTCCTACTGCTGCCTTCTGCAGTAAAAGCTCCCTCTGGCTGCTGTGCAAAGAATAGTAAGGGCCGAGGCATGGGGACCAGTGAGGGCCCATCCCTGCCTCAGTGGTGGTGGCAGTGAAGATGGTTTGAAGAGATCACATTCTGGATATGTTTGAAAGGTGGGGCTAGCAGGGTGTGCTGAGGGTGAATAAGGAGAGTGTGAGCAAAAGATGAGTGAAGGATGACTCCAGAATGTGTGCTGGAACAGCTAGGAGAGAGCAGATGCGGGGGGAGACAGGAGGCAGTAGGTTTGAGAGATGAAAAGTAGAAATTTGAGAGACAGTAGGGGGAGGGTGGGAGTTGAGCCTAAGAATCCTGTCTCCAGAGCCTCTGGTTTCTTTTTTCTTTTTTTTTTTGGTGGAACCGGGGATTGAACTCAGGCCCTTGCACTTGCCAGGGAAGCGCTTATTCCACTGAGCCATCTCCCTGGCCCCTGGTTTCTTTTCTTTTTTCTTTTTTTTTTGTATTTTTTTAGGGAAGGGTCTACAGGGTGTTCAGGGTCTCACTACTAGAATGGACTCTTAGTGATCCGCCTGTTTACAGCCTCCCAAGAGCTGGGATTATAGGCGCACGCCACCACACCCAGTCTCAGTTGCCATCTCAGCCCGTTCCAGGGGCATCTCCTGGCCTCTGTGACTGCCTAAGCAGGCGCTTTAATCTGCTGAGCCATTTGGCCAGCCCAAGTCCATGGTTTCTAACCATTCCAGAAAAGGAGTGGAGCAAGGTGGGGGTTATCCACTGGCCCAAGGACCTCATCATTTATGACACCCTCACACTCCCCCCCCCACTCCAATAGGAACAAGAATATTACCTGGTAAAGTGGCGTGGATACCCTGACTCAGAGAGCACCTGGGAACCACGGCAGAATCTCAAATGTGTGCGCATTCTCAAGCAGTTCCACAAGGACTTAGAAAGAGAGCTGCTCCGGCGGCACCACCGGTCAAAGCTCCCCCGGCACCTGGACCCAAGCTTGGCTAACTACCTGGTGCAGAAGGCCAAGCAGAGGCGGGCACTTCAGCGCTGGGAGCAGGAACTCAATGCCAAGCGTAGCCACCTGGGACGCATCACTGTGGAGAATGAGGTGGACCTAGATGGCCCCCCACGGGCATTTGTGTACATCAATGAGTACCGAGTTGGTGAGGGCATCACTCTCGACCAAGTGGCCGTGGGCTGCGAGTGCCAAGACTGTCTCTGGGCACCCACTGGAGGCTGCTGTCCTGGAGCATCCCTGCACAAGTTTGCCTACAACGACCAGGGCCAAGTGCGGCTTCGAGCTGGGCTGCCCATTTATGAGTGCAACTCACGCTGCCGCTGTGGCTATGACTGCCCCAACCGAGTGGTACAGAAGGGCATCCGCTATGACCTCTGCATCTTCCGTACAGATGACGGACGTGGCTGGGGTGTCCGCACACTTGAGAAGATCCGCAAGAACAGCTTTGTCATGGAGTACGTAGGAGAGGTAGGGAGACAAGACCTGGTGTGTGGTGCAGCTGTTCCCACTGTGCATGCCCTGCTGCTGCTCTGTGTGCCTGAAACTCGCTTGCTTTCCGTGTGGGTTGTTAGTCTGAGTGGCATAGGCATGTCATGGCAGGGGCTACTTTTCCAGGCTGGAACATACCAACAAAAGTATGCTGGTGGCTAAAAGAACATAGTGGCCTCCTAAAGGTCCCTAGCAAAGAACTATGAGGACTAAGATCTGAAACAGCACTCCTTTCAGAGGCCTTGCGGCCAGAGCATAAGACTGTAGCACCTGAAAAAGCCCCTCCCTTCCCTTCTTATCCCACAAGAGGCATCTTTTGCAAGTGGTGCTTGCCCAGAGGGAGCTGCTTTTATGGTCTGGAGTAGATGTAGGCATGCCTGTACTGAGGTCTCCTTCCTCCTCTGTCCTTTCTGATCACCCTGGGGAAGGCCTGGGTGAATTAGGCAGGCCTCCACTGTAATGAATGAGCTGGCAAATCTTAGTGACTTTGAAGGTTGACGTTTGTGTGCTCCTGACCAGTCTAGTGTGGGTGTTCAGGCAGTCTCCTTTCACAGTGTCTCCAGTACCCACGTTCTTTCCCTCTTGTGCCTTTCCTATGCTTTAGAGTCTCAGAGTCTATCCCAGAGCCTCAGCATTCTCTGGCAGGCAGGTTGAGTAGGGGACCAGAAGGGAGGGTTCTAATAGGTCAAGTCTGAATACAGCACACGTCACTTCTGCCCACACTCTGTTGGCTGGCTCTGAGTCACTGGCCTTAACTGCAGTGTGGGCGGAGGGGGGTGCTTTAGCTGTGTGCCCAGGTGCAAAACAGAAGAGTTCTGGATGAGTAATTAGCAAATGTCTGCAACAGGAAGTGTCACATCTTAAGGTAGGATGTGGTGGGCATTTGGAGTAGAGCACTTCTCTTATGCAGAATTGTCTTATGCCTTAGGAGACATTTAACATCTGTGGACATGACCACTTAAATCCACGAATGTGCCTCATTCTTGGTGACAATTGCAGATACCTCCATATATTTCCACAGATTCTTTTTTTTTTTTCCCCAGAACTGGGGATTGAACTCAGATCCTTGCGTTTGCCAGTCAAGCGCTTATCCTACTGAGCCATCTCCCCGGCCCCTCCACAGATTCTTTGGGGGTATGATATGGTTGGGAAGTGATGAAGAGTGGCCTGATGGTGTCCACACTGTAGCAGTGACATTGATGACAAGGAAAGGCGCCTTCTCTGAGGCACTACAGAGTAGAAAGGACTAAACCCCAGAGGGACAGGCCCAGTTTTGATGCCAAGTAGTCTGCACCACAGAGGACTAGCAGTCTGGATGAGAGGATGGTCACACCTCAGATGGGTAGCTGAGGATACATCCCCATGACAGAGCCAGCTGGTCTGGAGAAAGGAGGAGGTTTCCACACCCAGAGGGCTCCTGAAAGTATCAGGAGAAGGGATCCTAGGGAACCTCACTCAGGGAGATGTCCCCATCTCAGAGTGACCCAAAGACTTCGAGGAAGAACTGAAGCTCTCTGCACTCCAGAGGGTCCTAACTTAGGAAGTATCCACACTCACACCATCCTGTGGCCAGGCAAAATTTTCTTCACTTCCAGAGGGATCCAGAGAGTCTAGAGATGATGCTTATACCTGTGAGTACCCTGGCAGACTGGAGGAAGTGGCCAGACTTCAGAAGGACCCTAACTATGTAGAGGACAATATGTTCACCCCTGACAGTCTGGAGGGGAAGGTGTCCAGGTCCTATGGACCCTGGCAGTCTTAGAGCCCATCCCAAGTAGGAAGCACAGCCTCATTGACCTCATATCAGGAGATATGGGCCATCCTCAGAGCACACAGGCAGCCTCAGAATTCTGGGTTTATTGTCCTTACTCCTGCTTGCTGGAAATAAGGGTTCTAGGGGCCCTTTCATCCCTTCCTTACTATTCCCATTCCCTAGGCCATTTCTTGGCCCTCCTATTGCCATATTTAGTGACTTCCAGTCACCCTTAGACCTATGGGTCCTCCTGATGAAGTCACAGGTCTCTCTAGACACTGCCAGAGCCAAACTCATCTTTCCATTTGGCTTTCAAGTAGCCAGCAATGGAGTGGGCTCTGTAGCCTCAATGCCAGAGCTTGTACCCCAGTGCCACCACTCAGCAGCCGTCACTGTACCTCTTTGTCTCCATTTCGTCATCTGGAAAATGGAAGCAGTAATGGCACCTGCCTCCTAAGCTAATCAGAAGCATTTATTCCATGGGAAATACTTGCAAGAAGCACTTGGACAGTGGTCAGTACACAGTAAGTCTCAAGTACTAACCACTACTACTGTCCAAAAGCCAGAAAATCCAAATGTTCAGAAAGTGAAAGGCTGTTTGTCACCTATCTGTCCACAGACCCCATCCTAACCACATAGGGACCTATTTATAGTCTTTATTATCCTACTTAGGGTAAATATTCATATATTTTATCTCAGAAATACCAATTTACTTAATTATATGGTGCTGTCCCATAAGCTTCCAGGGTGTTATGTTTTGTTTTTGTTTTTGTTTTCATTTTGCGGTACCAGGGATTGAACTCAGGACCCTGCACTTGCCAGACAAGCGCTTATTCTGCTGAGCTATCTCCCTAGCCCACCAAGGTGTTATATAATTGAGGGCATAGTCCTCATACCTGGATGCTGCACTGTCCTTCCCCTTGGGGAGACTGACAGTCAGCAATGACAGTTCCTGCCATGTATGCAGTCCTTTGCTCCTTTGCGACCTTTCACACTTGAACTTTGACATCTCTGCAGAACATTTCACCTCTTCCAGCAGAGAATACTGGCCTACTTTATCCATTCTGTAACATGTTCTCTCTACATTTACTGTCTCTGAAATGAAGGTGATCTCAATTGATGTCCTTAGGTGGTAACATTTAATTACCAGTTTTCCCTCTGTTGGTAAAGGGTACATACAATAAGGGTGCATTTCAGATTTCAAGAAGACCCAGCACAACCCCTCATCATATTGCTCTGTTCCTAACAAAAGAATACTTTTTGCATCAATGATCTTGGTATTTTACAAGAGCCCCCATCAGGTTGCACTTTTGTCACTGTTATTCCCATTCTACAGATGAGAAAACAGAAAGCCAAAGAGATGTAGTTATTTGCTCAGAGTCACAAAGCTAGTAAAGTGGATTTTTAAAAAGCCCAAGTGTCTAAAATTGGTGCTTTGCCAGGCTTATTGGCCTTTTTATTTTTTGGCTGGGGAAGCAGGCACAGAGAAAGACCATGCAGGCCTCTAGTTCCTGTTTCTGGGCTGGCTGTCCTCCCCACCTGTAGCAGTGCTTGGGTGCAGGGATTTGTTCCTAGGTCTTCAGGGTGGACCACCCATTTCAGAGTAGGGCTGAAAGGAAAGCAAAGGAAAGGAACCGTTTGTGCCTCGGAGGCCTTGTGGGATGACTCATTCTTGTGAGACTGAGGAAGCAGGTAGGGGCAGAGCAGACGGGAAGGTGGAGCAGGAGGATGTGAGCCTACCCCTGGCATGGGGAGGGACTCCAGTTAGAAAGATAGCTCAGAGTCGAGTCCTCATGCTGGTGAGAGGGAGCTGCTACCCTTTGATCTCAAGGCTTCTGAGGTGGGCCGGGAAGACAGAGGCTCAGAGCAGTCACATTTGGCTGAACTAACATCACAAGGTAGTACGTGTTCTCCAAGAGCTAGAGGGACATTGGCCTCAACATATGCCACCTCAGCATGCTCCTGTGGTTCTTGTTGCATCCCTAGGAGAGGGCCTCAACTCTTTAGCTGGTTTTCTTTTATGACTTCCACCTTGCTTTAGACACTATATCTCTATTTTATTCCCCCTTGGATTCCTTCTAAGCATTGTGTTTTCTGATCAGCATCTTGCACTGTGAGTTTCTGACTCCATCTCCGACATCTCTATGACCCCTGAGAGTAAGGGCCAGGCTTGTCCTGTCTGTCTCCCCACCGAACTGTGATCCCTGCAAGTTGAGACCAGGCAAAAGATAGGCTTCAATCCTAGACAAATCCATAGAATAGGTTGGGGTTGTATAACTCAGGGGCAGAACATGTATTTAGTATGTGTGAGGCCCTGGATTCTGTCCCCCTTGATACAAAAACAAACAGGTTCACTGAATGAATAAACAAATCAGGTATGGAAGAGCCCTGGTCCTCCAGGACTGGAGTTGTAGTAGTAAGCAGTATGGCCCAAGGGTAAATCTGGGTTCCATAAAGGCACTGCTGATCAGAACTTGGCACAAAGTATAGGCTGAAGGTGATGGCACAAGAGGCAGGCAGGCAAGGACCTGTATGGCCCTTTTGAGTAAAGCACATGGAGTGCTCAAGCCTGGAAGGGGGTGGATTTGAAAAGTGGAAGAGCATGGTTCTAGGACCAGAGGGGGGCATCCTGGGTAGGTCTTTGGTTTATATTCATTGTCAACAGGAGGGCTAGAGAGGGACAGAGAAAGGAAGGGGTCTGGGTGAGAGTTTTAGAGCTACCTAGAAGACCACCAGTGGACTGAGAACAGGTTGCTGGGCTGGAGAAATAACATGTATGGCATTGCTATGGGCTGTGTGCTATTTTGGCACTTGTCTCTAAGGGCTTGGCAAAGAAGTGGAAGGAAACCCAGGAGTCAGGCGATCCTGGTTTAGGAGGAAGCAGTCTTGTGTACATTAGGACCTTTGCTAAGATGGTATGCTCAGCACACTTGGGCATTGCCAGAGGCTGTATTTGTTGGTCTTGGAGAAACAGGACATGGGGTAAAAAGAGATCTGTGGGGTAGAGTCCATCAACAGCATTTCGGAACAAGGATAGATCAGGGCTGGGATGGTGGAGTGGTTTCACATTTATTAGGATGGTGAGGGGACATGGAAGGTGCTTGTTCTGCCAGGTATAGTGTGGCACTGAGGGAAGACTTCTTTTGTTTCCTTTCTTTCATTTGTATTCCTGCTCTGCCTTTCTCTATCATTCTGTCTCTTAAGCTTTTGGCCTGAGCCTTTCAGGGCTCCTGGCCTTTTCCCAGAGGGGTTGGCCTTTACTCTGAATTGGACTTTTAATACCAAGATTCTGTGTTTCCAACCTGGTCTCCGCTCCCTTCATTGAATCTGTTTCCCCATTTACTCCCTTTCTCCACCACCCCAGAACATTCTCCTGCTTGTTCTCTTGAGTCCTAGTTATGTTAGGGTTCATGCTGGCCCCATCCCTCTTACCCTGGCTCAGTCTTTTCCTGTCTTTCTCCCAGTAATGCGCTGGCTCTCATTCTTTCTTGCCATTCCTCAAGCCCTGTCTGTCTTTCCCTTCCCAAGTCTGTGGAACATGGAGACATTTCAGGCAGTTTCGCAGGGTAGCAGAAGGTGGACTTTCCCTCTTCCTTTTACTGTAAATACGCCTTGTGGCCAGCTTCCTACCATTGTCAGCCTCCTGCCATCCGGAGGCCTTAGAGAGGGCTAGGTGGAGGGCAGTCCCCTGAAAAGGCTGTCAGGCCATCTGCATTGCTGTCCCCTATGTGCATGGGGCACAGGTGCTTCCTGCTCACAATTCCTCTCTTCCCTGGGGAGCAAAGCAGGTTTGGGAGCAGTGCTAGAGCCTTTGTGACTAGTCCCCTGCTCCTTTTCCCAGATCATTACTTCAGAGGAGGCGGAACGGCGAGGCCAGATTTATGACCGCCAAGGTGCCACATACCTGTTCGACCTGGACTATGTGGAGGATGTGTATACTGTGGATGCCGCCTATTATGGCAACATCTCTCACTTTGTCAACCATAGTGTGGGTACCCCTGGCAGGCGGGCGGTGGGGGGAGGTAGGCCAGGGCCCTTCCTCATTATCCTACTGTTTCTTTTGTTGTTATTGTTGCCTAGTGTGACCCCAACCTGCAGGTGTACAACGTCTTCATAGACAACCTTGACGAGCGGCTGCCCCGCATCGCTTTCTTTTCCACAAGAACCATCCGGGCAGGCGAGGAGCTCACCTTTGATTACAACATGCAAGGTGGGGATAGCAGGAAGCCAGGAACAGGGGCAACCAGTGATATGGGATGTGAGGATCCTATACCAAGGCACCCTGGTCCCTCGGAGAACCAAGGGAAATTCTGTAGCTGGAGCTTTAAGATGCTCCTCCTGGCTCCAAGCCTCCTATCCAGACTCCAGGACTTTTGCCCACATTCCCATCCCCAGAACCCTAATCTTGAACCAGTTTCTCAGGACTTTGGGAGCAAAGGTTTGCCTGGAGAGAGAAAGCCCTCCTGGCTCCATCTGGATTGAACTGTACCAGCCCCTTCTCCCTCCAACACCCTTTGGACTTCCTCATTCCTGGTGACCTCCCTTGACAAATCAGTCACTCTCACAGGAGAGTTCAGCTGTATCTCTGGATGCTCAGGTTGCCCTCTTGTTTCTAACCCCCACTTGACTTGACCCTCATGGCTCTCTGCCAGTCCCCACCTCCCACAAGAGCCCTCGACTTGTGGCCTGAACACCCCTTCAGTGCTGCACACTGCCTTAGCCCGCATACCATCACTGAGATTCCCCTCCTAACTCACATCCCAGCGCCTCCCAGCCCCCAAAAATCTCTGGGTCTCCTGGTATAAAGGGTGGCAGGACACTTTATACAGGTCTTCTAATGAGTCCTTTCCCTCCCCTTCCCCCATTCTGGCTGTTATTCCACAGTGGACCCGGTGGACATGGAAAGCACCCGCATGGATTCCAACTTTGGCCTGGCTGGGCTCCCTGGCTCCCCTAAGAAGCGAGTCCGTATTGAATGCAAATGTGGGACTGAGTCCTGCCGCAAATACCTCTTCTAGTGCTGAGAAGTCTGAGGCCAGATTGACTGAGGGGGCCTGAAGTCACCTGCCCTCCCCTACTGCTGCCCTCCTGTTGGGGATTGGCTCTCTCACCTGCCTCCACCTGCTCCACTTGCTCTGCCTGCTCCAGGGTCAGGGCCTGTTGAGGACTGACTCCAGGAGTCTGTGTGTGTTTCAGCCCTTCTGTGGGTTGCACTTACAAACCTTCACCCACCTTCATTGATCACATCAAGATTTTCTGCAGTTAGGATTGGGGCCTACTGTAGAGGGCCAGAGAGGGTGGAGACCCTGTCCAGCCTACAATAAAAAGCTGTGTCTGTACTTGCTTCTGCCTGAAGCCCAAGGACCCTACTGCAGGCCTCCAACCCCAAGGCAGCCAGACATTGAGGGTAGAGTTCCCAGCTGCAACAAAGCTGGTTGCCAGACCACAGAATCTTTGTACTAATGGAAAAGGGGGTCTCCTGGGTGAGGGACTGAGGCTGGATCTGCTCACTGTGCCAACAGTGCTGGCTAGTGCTGACAATGAGATCTGTGCAAGGCTGCCCAGCTGAGAGGTGGATGCCATGTGCCACTCGAAGGGGGATGGGTGTCTGTGGCCCACTGAGTAGTGAGCAGAAGGCGGTCCTGCCAGCCAGCTCTGGAGTGGGCTAGGTGCAAGTTCTGCCTTCAGGCACCAGTGGTGTCCTGAGCTCTCAGGAGTATCAAGGGTACTTGGCTGTGATAACTGCTGAGGCTAGTGGAGATGGAATTGAGACCTAGATAGCTGTAGATAGCACTTAGGACAATGATATGCGTTGTTTAGAAGCTGGTGAGGTGTCCGGCACTGGGTAAAGCACCTGGTCCATGTGGATTGTCTCAGGGAAGCTTTGAAAATCACAGAGGTGGTTTTCCAGGAAAAGGCCTATGTGGCACAAGGCAAAGTACTGTATAGTAAAGTCCCCAACTTAGGAACATTCAGCTTGTGAACTTTCACATGTGTTCTATATAAGATTCACTGTTGGGTCATCAACAAACCTGATTTACAAACAGAATGATAGGGGAGAGCTTACCCACTAGGATATGTTGAGGCAAGAAGCCCCTGGTGGCCAACCCCAAGCTTCAGCCCTCTGCGCTCACCCCCAGGCCCACATCTCAAAAATTAACTGCCTTCAAATGTATAAAATGTTAAGCCTTGGCCTTTGCTCTCCCGGCCCTGTAAGATCTCTAGAAAGCCTTTCCTGATCACCTGTGCCCAGAGTGCCCCTCTGTGAGACTGTGTACCCTGCTACCAGAAGCCAGATCTGTGTGTCTGTGTGTGTGTCCTGCTCTTGTCTCCCAGGCTGCCCTTCAGGCATGGGCTGAAGCTGGTTCTCCTCTTGTAAACCCCTCAGCCCTACCCAGCCTGGGATGGGCACCAATAAACTGTGTGTTGAGTGAACAGATCCAGGTGTGAGGGATTGGGGGGAAGGGGGGCTCAACCTTCTGAGTTTAATCCTTTCACTTTGGGCCCTCATGGCATCCCTCATGCACAATCCTTTCCAAACTATCTTGACCTTCATATGTCCATGTTGACAAGCACTTAAAAGCAAACTCAACCCAGTGTTCTCTGAATGGATAAACCATTATCATTTTTCATAAACTAGGCAAACAATGCAGCAATGATAATGAAATGTGCTAACATTTAAACTAGAAGCTCAATCCCCAGTTTAAAAGTCCCACACTCTTGATTCACAGAAGAGATCAGAAATGAAACTACATGACCCTCTACATAGCTTTGACATCTCATACTTCCAGCTATGGTGTAACTCAGGCCCACAGCCTGGACACTAACTCCAAACAGCTTAGAAGCCTTATAACCTTGGCTTAGATCCTCAAACAGTTCAGAATCTTCCTTTTCTTTCTTTTATTATCCTTTGTTCCGAAGGATTTTTTTTTTTTTGCTTTGGTTAGCTTAGGATGCCTTAAGGGCAGGTTGGGTAAGGCATTAGGATCTGGGGGTAAAACCACAGCATCCTGAGCCTGACTGCTTTGCTTACTCAGGCACTTAAACAACTGAGCTAATGGACAGGCCCCCATAGAAATAATTCCAATTTCTTTTTTTTTTCTTTTTGGCAGAACCAGGGATTGAACTTGGGCTCTTGTGCTTGCCAGGGAAGCACTTATTCTATTAAGCCATCTCCCCGTACCCCTTCCTTCATTCCCTCCCTTTTCTTTTTGAGGCAGGGTCTCACTATATAACCTGGCCTTCTGATTGCCATGCAGCCCAGGCTGTCCTCTCTCAAACTCTTGGTGATTGTCCTGCCTCAGCTTCTGGAGTGCTGGGATTATAGGTGTGTACCACCACAGAAACTTCACATTCTTAACCCAGACTGGTAAGTGATTCCAAAATATAGCAGCCTGGATTCAGCCTGCCAAACCATTCTTGGAATTTGCACTTTGTCTACATATCTGGCAGGACTTTGGAATCCTGACTATCATGGACACAGATTCCCCAGATAGCTCTGAAAGATCACAGTCTGCAAAGTTGGCCACAAACAGATCCAATAACTGGGACACAGAGTCAGAACAGATTAGGGACTTCAAATTGCAGGCACAGGCTCAGAATTGGTGGTTTTTTTTTTTTTTTTTTTTTTGCCAAGAATCAAATTCAGGACTTGTCAGAGGCTCAGAGAATTTCTAACCTGAGACAAACACAGAATGGCTAAGACATCACAGCCCAGTTACATATGCCTACACAGTAGCACTGGCACCTCATGAGGGTACATAAACTCCCAAAGATTGAAGCTCGCAACCTGGATAGCAGGCTCTCCACAGCAGATGTACAATGTCAAAATGTTCAGAGCTGACAGACTATAAAGGCCCCAGCACACATACCCCCAACACCCAATACCAGAAACTAAACCTCCAGTCCTGGAAAGAGACCCCCAGTAAGTCAGACACTTCATACCCTGGGACCAAGACTCCCTCAACAGGAAGTGTCTCTCTAGGAAACATAACCTCTTGGACACAGGGTGAAGCACCTTAAAGGCACAACATGGTAACATGCCTTCATACTGGGAACACAGCCTGAAGCTGCTCAGAAAAACCAATCCTAGGACAAAACCCACAGCATTACAATAGACTTGTTCACAGAGACACTGGCTCAAAACAGTTCAGGGAGTAACCCTCTGTGTCCCAATATTCATGTGTCACACACCTTACATCAGAAAAGAGAGGGAGTTACAAAGCTCGGAGATATCAAAATATCTGTGCAGAGATCACCACTGTTAAGAGACTACACACACCATGGCCCTGGCACAGTGATGCATACCTGTAGTCGCAGCACTCAGAAGGCTGAGGCAGGAGGATGAATGTGAGTTTGAGGCCAGCTTGGATGACAGAGACAGAGACAGAGACAGATAGACAGAGAGACAAAGACAGGGAAGAGGGGAGAGGGGGAGAGAGAGAAGAGAGAAGAGAGAGAGTCCCAATACTTCAATATAGCACAGGCCTGCAGACCATCCAGACAACTCCCTACTGAGTCAGCTATATCATGCCTTGGGACTGAGACTCTCAAAAAGGCAGAGTCTTCCCTCCTGAAAATATATCTTAAAAGCCAAGGAGGCAAGCCTGTAATCCCATCACTCAGGAGGCTAAGGCAGAAGGATCGCTGTGAGTTCCAGGCCAGCCTGGGCTACAAAATGAGTCCAAGGCCAGCCTGAACAACATAGTGAGACCCTGTCTCAAAAACAAAAAAAGCCGGGGCTGGTGAAATGGCTCAGTGGTCTAAAGCACCTACTTAGAACAAGCTTAGCAAAGCACAGGGACCACGGTTCAATCCCCCAGCACCACATGCCAGCCAGCCCCACCCCCTGGTGGGCTGAGCTGGCCACACACACACACACACACACACACACACACACACATATAAATAAAATTTAAAAAAAAAAGCCAAGAAGCCCTGACACAAGTGCTCAGTGGCCACATATCCTAGAACACCCACCATGATAGAGCTCAGTGGCTCTACAATATAAATGCAGTCACCCAGACAACTCAGCGAACTCCCCAGCAGGAATGCAAACCAGAAATTGCTCAGATGCTCAGAACCCTTGAATTTAGGGCATAGATGTCCTACTGAGACTTAGGATGTAGACCTCAAAATCTAATTCAGAGCATTTTTTTAAATTCAGATAATTAATTGCTGGATGCTGAGCATCAAATAATTCTGATGGGCTGGTGAGATGGCTCAGTGGTCTAAAGCACCTACTTAGAACAAACTAAAAGCACAGGGACCACGGTTCAATCCCCCAGCACCACATGCCAGCCAGCCCCGCCCCCTAGTGGGCTGAGCTGGACATGGACACACACACACGGACACACACACGGACACACACACACACACACACACACACACACTCACTAAAAAAAATAATAATAATTCTGAGATCTCAAATGAGAGATGGACACAACCAATCAGAGACCTCCTTTCCTGGATTCCTGCATGTACAACAAGCCAATTTGGGACTTCACATCCTGGACATACACAACAAACATAGGAGGGACCACACCCCCTGTAGCACACACATACAAAAACAACTCAGAAAAGTCAAATTCTAGGAAATACAAGCTGGGGAGATAGCTCAGCAGCATAAGCACCTGCCTGGCAAGCACAAGGTCCTGAGTTCAATCCCTGGTAAAAAAAAAAAAAAAAATCGGGGCATGGTGACACATACCTATAATCCCAGCATTCAGGCAGGAGGATGGTTGAGTTCAAGATCAGTCTGGGCTACAAAATGAGCTCAAGGCCAGTCTGAGCTGCATAGTGCAACCCTGTCTCAAAAAGACAGGAAGAAATAAATCTCTAGGAACTATATACCTGAAAGGAACAGAAACCTCACATCCTGTGAAACACTGAAAGATCAAAAAACTCATGCAGCAGTATACAACCAAACATTTCAGAAAAATAATATTCAGGGGCAGATACCCACAAAACAGATCATAGACCTCAATTCCTGGGACAAATGTACATAAAAATAGCAGATACTTCACATGTTGGAACAAACAGCCACCCATACCCAGGGAATACACCAAAGACTAGATTGAGGACTTCACATATGGAGAAGAATTTTTTTTTTGCTAGTTCTGGCTGCCTTAAGGGAGGATGTGGTGTGGCTTATGGGGCTGGGGATTAAACCACGGTCCCCTGCACCTGACTGCATTTGCCCAAGCAGCGCGTTAAACAACTGAGCTATCGGGCAAGCCCCCTAGGACTTCACATATGGAAACACACCCAAAAGAGGGTGGTAGTACACCCAAAAGCAGCACACACTGACAACTGTGATGGACACACAATTGAGGAACATACTAACAACCTGGAAAGGGATCCACAAATAAAGCGGTTATGTGTAGGCCTCCCGAGTATGATATATGCCTGGAGAGCTCACCTTTGGGACATCACATTACACAAGTCAGGGAGCTCACACAGACACAGACACACACACACACACACACACACACACACACACACACATACACACACGGCTCAGAGAGCTAAAATCCCACAACACAACCACAATCAAGCAAGAGGCCTCATAGGCCAGGAGAACACCAGAAAAGTGATCCTAGACCTGACATCCTGCAACAGAGACCCCAGTAAGCTCGAAGAGCTCGTGTCTGCTTCATATCCCAGCACAGAGATGAGAGAGCACTGCTGGCAGACAGACGGCTCAAGGAGTTTCCATGCTGGGATGGGCACCAGCGCTGGGATGGGGACAACCTCCACAGCCTGCAACATCATACTGCTTTTGTACTACTGCAGAAACAAACCACCAACATCTTGTCATAAACAACATACATTTATTATCTTAGATTTCTACATAGCAGAGGATCAACAAGGACTTTTTTTTTTTTTTGGTGGAACCGGGGGTTGAACTCAGGCCCTTGCACTTGCCAGGGAAGCCCTTATTCTACTGAGCCATCTCCCTGGCCCCCTCAACAAGGACTTTGTAGTGTCAAACTTGATGTGGGGGCCAAGTTTGGGCAGTGCACACCTATAGTTCAGCTACTTGAGAGGCTGAGGCATGGCTGCTTATGTGTAGGAGGAGTTCAAAGCCAGCCCAGGAAGCATAGTGACAGCCCATCCTCTTCAACCCCCTAAAAAACAGTGAAGTCAGAGACCAGACTATGTTGCGTATCTTGTAAGTGACCTGAATGTAAACATTAAAGCCACAGAAGAATTTGTTTTCTTATTTCTTTTTCTTTCTTTCTTTCTTTCTTTCTTTCTTTCTTTCTTTCTTTCTTTCTTCTTGTATTTACTACAGAGTTTACAGGGTCTCACTACACATATCAGACTCGTAGTGATCCTCCTGTTTTCAGCCTCTGAAGTGCTGGGATTATAGACATGCACCACCACACCCAGTCTCAATCACTATCTCAGTGCACCCCAGGGGCGGG